GATGCGAGAGATTGAGTTTGGAAAGGTCCTGCGGTGGTAGTACAACACTAAGGACGTACAGAAATGGCCGGAACACGTCGTAACAACAGACCCTGGGTGAGAAAAAGATGATGCTGGAGAGGTTGGACAGAGACACAAGGTAAGGAGAAGAGAAAGGGCAATTGAAGGGGCGCTGATGTTAGATGAGGGGGAATGATGATAGATATATATTGCAGCTGTATAGATCGGAGAAACTCCAGGGAATGAAAGCAGCCGCGTTGGGTTTTTGGTGGGCAAGTGATTGTATATGTACGTATTACCAGAGCCAGGGGCGCGGCCCACAATACGCTTCTTCTCTTGCTAGCTGAGGCTGCCGGAATGAGGGGGCGAGTTTCCCAATGGGGGTTTTGCCGTCGTGCGCGACGTGGAGGATTGAGATCGGGTTTCTTGTGCAAACTGCATAGGAGAGAAATTGCACCAGTTAGCAGTTTTATTCGTGGAATAATTCCAGATTTTTCTCGTCGATGGCGAACGCTCACCTCGCTGTTATCTGAATCGAGTGGTCAGGGAGCGGCGAGCGCGTCCACGTCTCACAACGCACGCGCGGGTCGGTAAATCAATGACTCGCGATGCTGCGAAGACCAGAATCCTCCTTTTCGTCCAGATGCGCGATACGGTGTGGTCGAGACAACGGTTCAACAAAACGTCGTCGCTGTGGTCTGCGTCGTCGGTCGGTATGGGAAAGGGCGAAGAAACAGCAAAAAGGGGAGACGTACGGGTCGCAGATGCAAAAGGACTATATACTAGTCAAAAGTCTGTGAATCAGAGGAGCAAGCTTCTGATGACAGGCAGACGTGACTATTCCTAAACCGACAGACGACGAGCCTTTTCCATTCAACTTGCCCTGTGAATGTGTTTTTCTGGACAGCAAATAGTCAAATATCTTATGCTAATTATGCTTTTCCCCTCTCCCCCACAGCGCCCTGTTCTCGCGCATACAGTACGCTGTTTCTCCACGGCAGAGCATCGGCCAGCAGCGTTTTCGCCGCCAAAATGGAGTGTGGATAACCATTTGTCCATCGACGAATTGTGTGCCTCGTTTAGACGTGTGGGTTAGGGGCGGGGAGCCACAGGCTTGGTATGCGTCTTCGGAAACTACCGATTGGGAAAAACACGCAATTACTTATTTCTTGTCAGCGCTCGCCAAATCATCTCCAGGCAAAGCATCTCTGGCAGACTTCGTCCGCGGTTTCGTCGGTGTTTTAAACCCCAGCGGTGGTTTTAATTTATCACGTTATGCGTAAGCACAGTCACAGGGAGCGCTCGCGATTTCATGCTCAATTATTTTTAGTATTCGACTATCAGGATATCGAAGAACTCGCGAACCAAAAGCCTAGAACTGTGTGCAATAGATGCACATTCGTGGTTTGGAGAAGTGTTCCTCGTTCAGTTCCTGTGTGCACCTCCACCGGTGATTCATCCACTTCCCTTGTTGTGACGATAAATTGCATACTGCAGCCCCAGCATCGCATCTGCCGCAGCTTCGACAAGCAAGATTGCAATTTACAAATCTCGGCATCTTTCCACTTCTCTAAATATGGATACAGAACAGCCGTAATCGCAAGGGGATGAGAAACATGTGGACATCTCCGATGGACAGGGGAGACAAAAAGGGAGAAAAAAAAATAGTCGAGGGCTAGATATCTAATTTGCATACAGTTCGCCTGTTAACACATCCAACTCGGTCTAAATCGCATCGAGGCGGCCCCCGCATGCGACACTTACGAACGCCCCCTTTTCCCCTCGCAATTCAGAAAGGTTAAATCCCGGCTAGTCACTCGATTGCACGAAACGGACGAATGGGCTATTTTCTTTCCTTTTTACCTGTTCACGAAACACAGATCAAGAACAGGGAGTGGGCCAAGAGCGACATCATCTTATAGAAAATTAGCCTCGCCCTCGTGCAGCGTGGCTTCTGTTTAAACATAGTCCAGATCCTTATCTATCACCAGTCGTGTTGGGTCCCGGGACGCTACCAGTCCTTTCCTCTTGCTGGGCCCTCTCCCTCGTCGTCCATGTCACTATCGAGTCGGGCATACAGGCTGCGCTCAGGGTCAATAGCCGTGCAGAACCCGCCAGCTTCTAGTAATAATAGCCACCCCTATATTTCTGACACTCAAGTTCCAGGCCATGACCGCCGACGCCATCGTCTGTCTCTCACACATCTCTGGCTGTATATGTGTAGATACACATACAAATCAAGATCCCTCCTCCAATCCCTTGCTCGCATTT